ATCCGCGCTGCACTCCAAGTCCAGAAGGAGCTCCGCCGCTGTCCGGAGCGCTCAGAGCCTGGCATTCCCACATTCAGCAGAGCCGCCCGGCTGGAGGCAGCACCCAGAGGTGCGGAATCGTAGAATCATAGAATGGCCTGGGTTGAAAAGGACCACAGTGACCATCTTGTACAACCCCCTGCTGTGTGCAGGGTTACCAACCAGCAGACCAGGCTGCCCAGAGAAAATGGAAAGCAACGCCTCGAAAGTGGGGAAGAAGCCTACACGAGTGAAATAATGAGCAGATGGCACTGAAACTACAGTGTGCACACCTGTGCACGGTGCACCTGGACTGCAGCACCCAGCTCAGCTCAGCACGGCTCAGCATAGCACAGCACAGCACCCAGCAGCTCCAGGGAAGCATGAGGGGATCCCCTGTAAGCAGTGGTGCATCAACACACACAGAGGGCAGAGCTCTGAGGTCTGGGTCTGAAGAATCCGGAAATAGCAGAGATTTGATTCCTACATATATATACATACTCTGCCCAGCTCTGTGTGATGCTCAGCCCCAGGCTGTGCTGGGGATGCTTCTATCAACCATGAAGAAGAGTTTCTTTATGGGGGAGGTGATCAGCATGTGGACAGCCTGCAGTGGCGGGGCCTCCATCCCTGGGGGTATTTGGGGGCTGTGTGGATGTGGCACTGGGGGATGCAGGCTGAGGGTGGCACACGGTGGGTTTCCTGCTTTTGGCTGTGGTTTTCCTCCCAGCAGAGGGCACAGTGCTGCGTTTTGGGGCAGGATGTGAGTAATGCTGATAACACACCAATGTTCTGAGCAGTGCTTACAATGAGCTGAGGGGCTCCAGAAATAAGAGCAAATGGGACATCGAGAGGATTGGCCTTTGTCCCCACAGTGCCTTCTGTGTGACAGCCACTGCTGTGTGAGGGATGGGCCAAGCATCTCCTTGTTCTGTTCACTCACACACAACTTCTGCTTGGTGTGCAAACTGTCCTTATCTCAGCCCATGGGCCTCTGCATTTACAGCAGTCCTGCTATCCAAGCAGTGGAGATTCCAATGACCTGACATCCGAAAGGAATGAGGAGGTGTCTGCATTTCCTTCTAGGTCACATTGCAACAGTAATTATGGGCAGGGCAGGAGCAGAGCAGAGTGGTGGCTCAGGGCACATCCCAGCAATGTGAATTTGGGTCTGCATGGGGGAATCATGGAATCATAGAATGGCCTGGGTTGAAAAGGACCACAATGATCATCTAATTTCAACCCTCTGCTTTGTGCAGGGTCGCCAACCAGCAGACCAGGCTGCCCAGAGCCACATCCAGCCAGGCCTTGAATGCCTGCAGGGAAGGGGCATCCACAGCCTCCTTGATGGTTTCACCCTCTGGGTGAAAAACTTCCAGGAGATGGCAGAGGCACAGAACATCAGAACGGTCTGAGCAGCAGCCTGCAAAGGGAGGGGACCCATTTATTTGAGGCTGCACAAATCAAAGAGGTCCCTAAAGCCACAGGGTGGGGAAGAGTCCACTGTCTATTCTCTCAGGGCTGAAGGCTGCAGGAAGAGCTCATCAGCACAGGCTGAGGGCAGAACAGTTTTCATGCTAAGTGCAGCTATGGATGGGACAACCTCACTGCAGGTACAGTGTTGTTCAAAAATCAAATCTATAAATTAATGGAAGAAGAATGCAGCAGAGCCCATTGAGTACAAAAGCACTGTGTCTGGCTGAAGTGCACACTGCATTGTGTTTAGGGGGAGCATTCAGAGTAGCAGTGAGCACAGCAGATTTCATGTACATTCATTCTGGCAATGCTTTTTCCAGTACCAGTGTATGTCAGCCAGACTGGTGCAGTATGGGCTGGATAAGGGGAACACAGCTGGGACGTGGGCCAGGCCATGGGCTGGGGGCCGGCAGTCAGCACAGATGAGTCACAGGCAACAGAGTCGCTTGGGAGAGCCACCAGGACACAGCAGCCTCAGCCAACACCAGGCAACAGCCCTGTAGATGAGGCAAAACGTGCCATGCTGTGCCATGTTATGCCGTGCTGTGCTGTGCCATGTCAGGCTTCACTGTGCCATGTTGCATTGTGCCAGAAAAGGAGGGCACAGCTCTCCACTGACACACATAGACTGTGCCTGTACATCACATGGTGCTGAACATGGAAAATTGCTGCTAGACTCAAAGGAAAGCTTTTTCATCACAAGGGTAGACCCAAAGGAAAGGTTTTCACCATGTGGAGTATCACACACTGTAGCTGGGGCTGAGCAAAGGCAGCCCACCACAGCCCAGACTCAGTGCAGGTCAGCATCCCTGCCTGTACACCCAGGGCTCCTCAAGAGAACCAGTGCACTGCTGTCCTGTGTAGTCGTCTGCATGGCCCAGCTCCTTCACTTCTATGCACCCTGCAGTGCCGTGGGTGGCTCACACAGTTGGGCACTGCTCACATTGCTCCCAGCCCTCCCACACAGCTGCTATCAGCACACAGCCTGCTGCCACGGCCTTGGCTCCCTGTGTACAGCTGGGTCTGTGGCCACAGGCTGCCTCCTGTGAGAGGAGAAACATCCCAAAGTGGGATGCTGTGAGAGAGCAGTGGTGCAGCAGGGTGCAGCAGGAGCCCACCTGCTTGGTGCTCCCCCTAGCAGCTTATGTACTTGCTGGAGAACATATCCAATTTATACCTTGTCCACAAAGTGGAAAATAATCTTAGGGGGCTGCAATTTTAACCAGATTTTTGGTTTTCCCATAGCTTAAGCAATGAAGGCCTACTCGTCTTGATTACTGTCAGTTAAACACCTTACATCTGTGTGCATTTGTCTGTGCTTCAACATGCCAATTAAACATATCAGGGGGAAGCTAGAGAACAGAGTATCCTGATCATAGGATCATATCATGGAATCATAGAATGTCCTGGGTTGCAAAGGAGCACAATGCTCATCCAGTTCCAACCCCCTGCCGTGTGCAGGGTCACCAACCAGCAGACCAGGCTGCCCAGAGCCACATCCAGCCTGGCCTTGAATGCCTCCAAGGATGGGGCATCCACAATCCACCTTCATGTCACAATGAGCCTATCTGCAGTGAGGTATCACTGGGGCACTCCAGCACTGGGGCTCTCCAGCTGAACACAGGACAAGAATGCAGTCTGCTGGTTTCATTACATAGAATCACAGAACAATTTGAGTTGTAAGGGACCCTTAAAGATCAGCTGATCCAACCCCCCTGCAACAAACAGGGACACCCACATCTCCATCAGGCACTCATAGCCCCATCCCCTGACCTTGGGTATCTGCAGGGATGGGGCATCGCCGCCTTTCTGGGCAAGCTGTGCCATGCCTCACCACCCTTACTGTAAAAAACTTCTTCCTTATATCCAGTCTAAATCTTCTCTCTTTTAGTCTGAAACCATCTCCCCTTGTTCTGTCACACAGACCCTGCTGAAGAGTGCATCCCCTCCTTTCCCACAGCCACTTTATGTACTGAAGGATGCTCTCAGCTCTCCCCGCAGCCTTAATTTCTCCCATCTCTCAGCCCCAGCTGTCAGCCTGTCCTTGTAGGGAGGTGTTCCATCCCTGGGAGTTCTTTTGTAGCTCTCTTCTGGACGCTCCCAATATCTCTCCATATCCACATGCAGTACTCCAGCTGACGTCTCTCAGTGCAGAGTAGAGGGACAGGATCACCGCAACAGCAGCATCAGACTGCCCCACTCTCTTTGCTGTGCTTTCACACCCTGCCACACGCAGTAACTGCTCTCCATGTGTGCAGATGCCTCTCAAGGTAGGTTTCAGCTGAACACCTGCACACATTTTCAGCTCCATGTCCTCACATTCCTCACGTGCTTTCAGACTCCAACACCGCGAGGAGAAGGGGCAGGAGCTGTGCACAAACAAACTGCAGAGGCAGTGGTGGCAGAACCTGTGGGAACTATGGGGGACTTCAATAAAGCTGCTTCTCTCTCCTCCCCCATGAAGATAAACATTTGGCAGCTTTTATATTCTGACCCCTACTTGCTTCTTTTTGCACCTACTGGGTTGATTCCATAGCAAAGAGCTACACAGCTGTATTGCACTCAGAGGGGGGATGTGAACACAGCAGCTCTGTGTTGTTGGTGTGGGAGGAAGCTGTTGAGAACAACAGCATGAGGAAAAGCCTGGCTGGAGTCATGAAGCAATGATGCATGACAGAAATCAGCTCTTGGAAGGAGGAACCCCTGCTCCAGGCATCCCTGCTGCAGCAAAGGGTTGGATCAGATGAACTTCCAGCCTCAGCCATTCTGTGACTCTATGAGTCCCAGCCCTGTACGTGCTTCCAGGAAAACAGCTGCTGCAAAGCACTGAAATGAGGCCAGCACCAGGGAGGTCCTGGGGTGATTCCCTGCGTGTGCTGCACCAGCCCCAGTGGGCAGACAGGAGCAGGAGAGCTGTGCCAGCCAAGCCTGCCCCAGTGCTGAGTGCTCTGCATGGGCTGCAACACTGGCCTGCAGCACCCATTACAAACTGGGCATGCTCAGCCTCGCAGCCTGGACGTGGCCAAGGCTGAGCAACTGCAGTCTCACAGCAACACGTGGGGAGACAGTGTGCTGCTCTGCAACTCAGAGGGCTCTGCCACCCTTCATGCAAATCCGTGGCTATGGGCTGGGCCCTGCTGTGCTGCAGTGGGCAGCCCCTGCCACAGAGGCACAGATTGTTGGGTCTCATAGAATGACAGAAGGTCCTGGGTTGCAAAGGAGCACAATGCTCATCCAGTTCCAACCCCCTGCTGTGTGCAGGGTCGCCAACCAGCAGACCAGGCTGCCCAGAGCCACATCCAGCCTGGCCTTGAATGCCTCCAGGGATGGGAACCTGCAGGCTGTTCCAATGCTGTTCCAGCAGCAAGGACACAGAGCAAGGAAGGGTTCTTAGAAGGAGCAGTGGAGCAATGTGACCCCTCGCTCAGGGGAAGGTGCCCTTGCCCCAGCAGGATGCACTGTGCAGGGGGTACTTGTGGAGCAACGTGTGTGCCACCATGCCACACTAACAGCACAACACACATGAAATGTTTTATTAGCCCCATGAAATGGTGTCCTACAAATACAAAAGACTCAGTTTTGGAGAGCGAGAGCCCGGCGCTGGAGCAATAGAGAATTCAGCCGGGAGCTCCTGGCCAGAGCAGCAGCTGCTACGGATTCCCTTCTCTCTACCTGCAGTGCTGGCAGACTGTCGCTGGCTGAGGCCACCAGGGTGGGTAGGCCTGGCTGCCGGCGCAGACGCAGAGGAGAACTGGGCTCCGCGCGGCCCGGCTGTGGTGCTGAGCAGTTCCGCCGCTCCACACCGAGGCCGCCATTAGGGGGCCCCGCCGAGCCGCCAGCAGCCGTGCCGAGCCCGGGCCGTCCTGCAGCCACCTCACAGCCACGGAGGCACACCAGACTCGCGGCCCCGCTACGTGCCCGAGGGCCCCGCGGCAGAACTGTCAGGAGCCGCGCGGGCAGCTTCGGCTTCGTCCGGTGCCGTCCGCTCTGTGCCGTCCTCCAGGCGGGCGGCGCGGCGCTGCACGATGCTGGGCATGAGGGCCACGTAGGCGCCCATCAGGCGGTGGTTGGCACGGATCAACTTCCCGGCGCAGCCGTCCAGGCATCGCTCCTGCGGGCGGAGCGGCTCAGCACGGCACGGCACAGCTCAGCGTGTCCCTCCCGTCCCTGCCGCACACCAGCACTCCCCGGCCCGGGCCCCGCTCACCTCGCGCTGCGACAGCAGCCGGTAACCGAGATCGGAGACGCAGCGGCGGAAGCAGAGCTCGGTCATGCGGTTGTACACCAGCAGGAAGTCCCGCAGCTGCAAAACAGCGGCCCGCACGGTCACAGGACCCGCACGGCCGGGCCGCCCGGCCCCCACCCAGAGCCATCCCGCCCCGCCCTCACGCTGCGGAGCTGCTGTTGCTGCTCAGCCGCCGCCGCCTCCATGCCGCGCCGCGCCGCACTTCCGGGAAGGACGGACACGCCCCCCCGCTCCCGAGGCACTTCCGCCCGGGGCGCCACATCTGACGTCACTTCCGGTTCCGTCTCCCGGCGTCCCCCGCGCGGATCCTGACGCTGCTTCCGGCGCGTCCGGGCCGAAGCGGATCGGGGCCGCGGAGCCTCCGGGGCGGGGGCGCCCAGCGGGGCCGGGGCGGTGCAGGTGGGCGAGACCGGGGCCGGAGGGGCGGGGTGAAGGCTGGGGCTGCGGGAGGCCGCGCCGGGTCCCGGGAGGCGCTGACCTGAGAGCCCCGGGGCCGCCTAACGGAGCAGGCCCTGCCGAGGACGCGCTGTGAGAAACCCGGCCTCTGCGGCTCCCGGCCCCGATCCGGTGCTGCCTGGTGTTGGCAGCCGTGGATGCTCGGGTCGCCGCCGGCCGCCTCCTCCTCCTTCTCCTCTTTCTCTTCCTCCTGCTCCTCTTCCTCCTCCCCGGGGTCGTGGAGCGGTTGGGGTCCGAGCGGCGGCTGTGAGCCTCGGGAGGGGCCCAGAGCTTCCTCCGTGCCGGCCTCGGGCCGCGGGCTCAGCTCGAGGTAACGGCGCTCGGGGCCGGCCCAGAGCGCGTGCTGATGCTTGGAATGCGGCCCGACCGGTCCGGCCGCGGCCCTGCCTCACACTGCGGACGTGGCTCCTGGCTCCGACTCCAGGCCCCATGCCAGCAGCTGTAGGGTGCGCGGCCCTCCCTCGGCAGGACGAGGAGGCACGGAGCGGCCCTGCCCCATGCAAAGCCTCTGCATCCCTGCAGGCCCTGACAATGTCGGATGGGATCATGAGCAAAGCTGCCACCATGGAGATCCCCATCAGCAGCAACGGGGATGCAGGCAGCCTGCCTGAGGACGATGGCCTGGAGCAGGTGTGGGGTTGGGCAGGGGGCTCGCATCATTTCCAGGGGGTGGGTGCCTGTCCCTATGCCTCAACTCTCTGCTCTGCTCCCCCAGGACCTGCAGCAAGTGATGGTATCAGGGCCCAACCTCAACGAAACCAGCATCGTGTCTGGCGGCTACGGGGGCACCGCTGAGGGCATCATCCCAACCAGTGCTATCAAAGGTACAACGGCTTCCACAGGGACAGGGCTGTGAGAGGTGGGAGACTGGGTGGCCTGGTGGAAGGCTTAGGGAAAGGCTCAGTGCTGGGGGCGAGGAGCGGAGCACAGCTCAGGCCACCCTGCTGCACCCTTGGACAGGACCAGTCTCAGGGTTCCTGCTCCCAGCTGAGGCTGTCCTGAGTCACAGCCACATGGCCCTGCAGAGCACAGCCTCCTCACAGCCCCAGTGCACAGCACTGCTGCCACACAGCTGCACCCTTACCCTACACGTGCCCTAGGCTTACAGGCAGCTGTGGAGGTGTCTGGCTATCATGTAGATGTGGGGCTTCTGCTGAGGGAGCTGCTCTGCCTTACTGAGGCCCTGGTCTGTGATGCATGGGCTCAGCTGTTGGGCATCCTTCTGATGCTGGGAAAGAGTCCTGAAGATGGACAGCACTGGCAGAGCTGTGGTGGCTGTGCCTGAGAAGACACCTTGCAGGCAGAGAGGGACAGGGCAGAGGGGTACTGAGCCCCAGACTCTGCTTTAATGTCCCATTTTTGCTGTTGCTGCCAGCCTGGGAGCCCCAGGCACTTCTGAGCCTGGCTGTAAGTGCTCTGTGCTGCAAGGATGGTATCTATGGGCTTCTGGGGAGCTGCTGGTGCTTCACACCTGGAACCACAGTAAGCTCAGCCAAAGCAGCTCTGTCCCATCCGTCACTCTCACCCTGCTCCCGTTTCACACAAGTCCCAGCTCTTGGCCAGTTTGGTCCGTCTGCTGCAAACAGCTGTTTTCACCATGGGCCCTTCTGTGCTGTGCCAGGCTGAACAGGTGAATTACATAGGCTGAGGAGAGATGGGCTTTTGCTGATAGCCTGCTGTGGTGCAGGGAGCTTGGTGTAGTGGTTTCCTGTGTTTGTCAGCTCTGGCCTGTCCCAGCTCTCAGCCTGGTGGCATCTTGACGCCAGCCTGGGGATGGGAAGGAAGCAGGAGAGGAGCCTAGGTGCCTCTGATGTGATGCTGTCTGTCCAGCTGCCATCTGTGTCTACTGATTTCACATCACTCTTTCGTCTGCTCCCCTGCTGCCATCCTTCCTGCATGCTCATTCTGTGACCTGGTTGTTCCTGCCCTCATGCCTTTCACACCACCCCACCTTTTCACACCACCCCACCTCTTCCCTCTCTGCTCACCTCCTGCCAGCCCCTCCATTTCCAGGCTGTCTTGTCCAACCTCACTCACCCCGAGGACCATCCATCTCCCCCAGTGCATCTGCCGCCAGCAGGATGGCCAGCCAGGCTGGTGCTTCAGCAGGTACTGCAGCCATCCCAGCACCCCGTGGTGCCACACAGCCTTTCAGCCCTCCTGTCTCAGGCTTGGGCCCTGTGGCCCTGGTGTAAGGCACCCAATGTGTGCTGTGTTTCTCAGGGTCAGCTTCTTGCCCTGCCATGGTGGAGAGCAGCCCAGTGTGTGCCTCCCCCACAGCTATGTCCACTCCTAGTCCTTGTGCTGGGGGCGCGCATGGCACTTCCAAACCACAGAGCATCAGGCAGTGAGGCCAAGCTGTGTCTGGCTGTGAGATGCACTGTGTGCCTGCCTGGTCTCTCCTCCACCTGTACCATGCTCAGGAGCACAAAGAGTACTCCCCAGCACAGGAGCACTAAGGCCACTGGTGTGCAGGGCCGACCCTGCCAGCAGCTCTGCAAGCAGATGGGGGGACAGCACATCCCATGTAGGCAGCAGCCACTGCTATCAGCACCAGGGCCATGGTTATCAACATCTAGAAGGGTTCTGGGGATCAGGTTCTCTGCTACAAGAGGCCAAGTCCTGCTGCCTGCAGGCAGATAACAAATCACACAGCACTGAGGCTCTGTTGAGCCTGGTAGCAGTGCCCGACTGGCAGGGGAGGGCCGCTGCTTGCCTGTATCACATGGGGGTGCCCAGGGTGGATTTGCCTGCACCAGGAGTCTGCTTTGTTTGCACTTTGTCAGGCTGCAGCGTGGCCCTGGGAACACCAGCCCTGAGGGCACTGCGATGTGGAGTGGGCAGCCTGGCCTGTATCCAGGCCCTTTGCTGAGTCCCATTGGTGTGCTGTGTTCCAGGCTCTGGGCTTCACCAGCCTCATCCCAGCCCACCAGTCGGAGGGGAGGAGGTTGTCCGTGGGATCGCTGTGGAAAAATTTGACATTGTCAAGAAATGGGGAATCAACACATACAAGGTATGTCACATCCCTGACTGGGCAACAGGGTGGAGAGCTGGGCAGGGGATGAAGGAGCTGTGACGGATGGGGAGTGCATCTGGGCACCAATGCAGCAGCCCTACAGGGATGGGAAGGGACCATGGCCCTGACAGCTCCTCCCTCTGCTCTGCCTGCAGTGTACCAAACAGCTGATCTCAGAGAGGTTTGGCCGGGGCTCCCGCACGGTGGACCTGGAGCTGGAGACACAGATTGAGCTGCTCCGGGAAACAAAGCGCAAGTATGAGTGTGTGCTGCAGCTGGCACGGGCTCTCACCAACCACTTCTACAGCCTGGTGCAGACACAGCATGCCCTGGGGGATGCCTTTGCGGACCTCAGCCAGAAGTCTCCTGAACTGCAGGTATGCCTGGTGGGGCTGTGGTGTGTGCCTTGTCTCTGCTGTGCCTAGGAAGGAGAACCAGATTGACTCTGGGGTCTCTGCAGCACGGTCTGGACAGCACTGTGCTGGTCAGCACCCCTGGGCACGTGAGGGAAAGCAGAAGGAGGCTGAGGGCAGATGCACTTTGTGATTGCCATGGGGCTGGGGAAAGGTGTGGGGGTTTTGCTGCCGGCTCTTCCTGGGCACAGCTGGGGCAAGGTTAGGTCTGGGCAACAGGAGGAGGGCAGGGGCATAGCAGGCTGTGCTGCCACAGCCCCTCACCCACCTTCCTTCCTACCCCAGGAGGAGTTTGGTTACAATGCAGAAACACAGAAACTGCTTTGCAAGAATGGTGAAACACTACTGGGAGCTGTTAACTTCTTTGTCTCCAGTATTAACACGCTGGTAAATAAGACCATGGAGGACACGCTTATGACAGTTAAGCAGTACGAGACAGCCAGGTAGGACAGCAGTGTGGCCTGCAGGCCTGGCTGCAGGTGTTGGAGGGACTGCTCTGTAGCTTTTTGACTGTTGGTGTTCCTGCACAGGCTGGAGTATGATGCGTACCGCACAGACCTGGAGGAGCTGAGCATGGGGCCCCGGGATGCCAGCACCCTGTGCCGGCTGGATGCAGCCCAGAGCCAGTTCCAGAGCCACAAGGACAAGTACGAAAAGCTGCGTGCTGATGTGGCCATCAAGCTCAAGTTCTTGGAGGAGAACAAGGTGGGGAAGGCCGCGGAGCACAGGACGGGGCTCTGCCGTGCATGCGTGTCCCTTGGCCTGCCTTGCAGGCTGCGCAGCTTTGCTGCTCCTTGCTCAAGGTGCATTTTCAGGGAGCTGTGAGGGGAAGGGCAGGTGAGCACCCATGCTCCTGCCTTCCACCTGCGGTGGGTGACCACTTCCCAGCTGGCTGCTGCAGCTCTGTGCTGGGCAGACCTTGTCCTGGCCCATTCCTGCCATCCCAAGGTGTTGGGCAATGGGGCTGGGTGGCTGCGTGCTGACTCCTGCTCTCCCCAGATCAAGGTGATGCACAAGCAGCTCCTGCTCTTTCACAACGCCATCTCTGCCTACTTCGCTGGGAACCAGCAGCAGTTGGAGCAGACTCTCAAGCAGTTCAACATCAAGCTGAAGACCCCTGGTGCTGAGAAGCCCTCCTGGCTGGAGGAGCAGTGAGCCCCCCAGCCTGCCCCACCTTGTGCCCCAGCCGGGGAAGCCATGGACCATAACTGGGACCTCTGACCGCTGGCGCAGGGCCAGCCCACAATCATGAGTGGTGAGCTGGGGTTGCAGCCTCGGCCCTGCTGCAGCAGGGAGCACTAATGGGGCAGGGACCTGGTTAGGGGCAGGTGGAGCTCTGAGTGGGTCACTCCCCCTGCCTGGGAAGGCCGGGGCTCCCCCAGCCTGGCAGAGTCCCATTCTGCCCAGCCCTGTTCTCCCTCCCCAGTGCAGACCCCTTGGTGGGATGGTGGGTGCCTTCCAGGACTCCGCAAGGCCAGACACTTCCCTCCCCAGGCTGGGTTGCTCAGACCCCACCAGGCACCTTTGTGGGACGGGGATGTGCTACAGCCTCCCACTGTCTCCCCATGGTGCAGGAGGTTATGTGGCTCCACATGTCCCATCTGCCTTCCCTGCTGCTCTGAGCCAGGCTTTGCAGGGCCAGGCAGGACATGCCACCACCCTCTGGCAAAAAAATGTTTATTTTGAAATGAAGACAAAGCTGCAGAGGGGTGGCATTGGGACTCCTGGGTCCCCTCCTGGACCCTGAGAGGGGTGGACGAGGTCTTGTCCTGGGGCTCCAGTCTGCTCCTAGCCCCAGGCCTGCCCTGTCCCCTCTGGCCTGGTCCTCCCAGGCAGCTGCTCTTGCACTCCCTCAGCCTGGCTGATTCCCCTACCCCCACACTACACTCCCCTCAGTGATGGGCCAGTTGTGCCTGGTTGTCTCCCAGGCCTCAGCACCCATCCCCTGGCCGGGGCTTTGCCAGCTCCCACGGGTGGACGCAGGTGGGTTTGGCCACAGCCCTTGGCCTGAAGGCTGCTTTCCCTGGGGGGCTGCACTCTCAACCCACTGGAGGCAGGTGGGCAGCCCCACTCCCTGAGCCCCCACAGGCACCCCGAGGGGTGGTGGGGACTCAAACCAAGGACCAAAGGGTGGCTGCATCCCAGGGACAGTGTGTGTCTGTGCGCGGTGTGGCTGCGCCTCTGCGTGTGGCAGCGCTGGGGCTCTGCCTGCTATCCCGGGGTGGGGGAGCTCATCCTGCTCCAGCTGAGTGTTGCTTCAAGCCCTGGCCACGTGCAGCACTTGGGCACTTTCTCCTGAGACAAGACAGTTTGTTTTTCTTGCTAATTTAATTCCTGGTAATTTAATGTCTGGATCTGACACCCTCCTCCCCCTTCCCCCTCATTTCCTGGTGAAGCTCTGACCCCCTTCTTCCCTCCCCACTTCTGTAAGACTCCAGAATAAAACAATATGGATCAGAATAAAACAGTAAAGATCAGAATAAAATAGTGTGGATCAGAATAATGTGGTGTGGATCCCTCTGTGCACAGCACAGCCAGACCTGAGTATGGAGATTCCCTGGATGCCATAGACTCCTGAATGCCTGTAGCTGGTTCTGCTATAGGCTGCAGTTCTTGTCCCACTGCTTCCTCTGTGGGGCTCGAGCTGAGGCCCTTGTGGGGCACAGCATTAGGGCTTCCCGTACTCCCCAGCCCACACCAGGCTTGCTGCCTTGGCCGTGGATGCTGTGTGGCAGGCTGGAGCCCTGTAAGCACTGTGGAGTGCTACCTCCTCCAGCCAGAGCTCTGTGGGTAAGGGGGACCAGAAGAGAGGGGGCAAATTATTGTGTTAATTATCTCCAGCGCAGAGCCAAGAGCGTCCTGGGATGGTCTGGCACCAGGTTTAACGCGATCAGCGGGTGCTTCACAGCGTGGCAGCGCCTGAGGCTGGATAGGAAGAGCGCAAGGAAGAAAATGCATCTCGGAACAGGACGGGGAGAGCAGTGAGGGCACGGCTGGGAGGCTGTGAGCGGGAGAGGGCGCGGGGCATCCAGCCTTGCACCGAAGTCCTTCGTGAGCCCCTTCTGGTGCGGCCGGCAGGAGCGGTGCCGGGGGTCGGGCTTTTGCCCCAGAACGAGCTCGTGTTGCGCCCCCCCGAGCCGTACCGCACCTCCCCTCTTGCAGCGCGGAAAGCAAATGGGATGCTGGGCTTCATCAGCAGAGGGGTGGCCAGCAGGGACAGGGAGGTGATTGTCCCTCTCTGCTCTGCTCTTGTGAGGCCCCATCTGCAGGATTGAGTCCAGGGCTGGAGCCCCCAGTACAAGAAAGACAGGGGGAGCTGTTGGAGAGGGTCCAGAGGAGCCACAAAGATGATCAGAGGGCTGTAGCACCTCCACTACAAAGACAGGCTGAGGGAGCTGGGCTTGTTCAGCCTGGAGAAAAGAAGGCTGCGGGGTGAATCATTGCAGCCTTCCAGGACCTAAAGGGAGCCTACAAACAGGAGGGGAGTCAGCTCTTGGAAAGGGGAGATGACAGCAGGACAAGGAAAATGGTTTGAAGTTGAGGGAGGGCAGGTTGAGGTTGGATGTCAGGGGGAAGTTCTTTACCATGAGAGTGGTGAGGTGCTGGAATAGCTGCCCAGAGAGGCTGTGGATGCCCCGTCCATCCCTGGAGGTGTTCAAGGCCAGGTTGGATGGGGCCCTGGGCAGCCTGGACTGTTATGAAATGTGGAGGTTGGTGGCCCTGCCTTTGGTGGAGGGGTTGGAGTTTCGTGATCCTTGAGGTCCCTTCAACCCAAACCATTCTGCGATTCTGCCCCGCCGGCGCTGGATCCTCCCGGGGCGGAGCCGATGCGGGGCGGGGCCGTTCGGGCCCGTAAGAGGAGCGTGGCGGCCGCGCTCATCCCCCACCCCCCGCCCCAGCCATGGACTCCCAGCGCAGCCCCGCGCCGCCGCCGCCGCCGCCGCCCCCTCCGGCGCTGCCCTCCCCCCCAGCCGCCGTGCGGGGCGAGCGGTTGCGGGCGCTGCACTGGGAGCCGCTGTCCGCGGCGCGGGTGCGGGGCCGCCGCTCGGTGTGGGCACCGCGAACCCCCCCGCCGGTTCTGGACCTCCCCCGACTGCGGCTGCTGTTCCGGGAGCCCCGCGGCGCGTCCCCGGGGCAGCGCCCGCCGCCCGTGGTGAGAGGCGGCCGGACCGCCGCGTCTCCGTTGCCGCGCCCCGCGCTCTGACCGCGCCGCACCCGCAGGCAGCGCTGCTGGAGCCCAAGCGGAGCATCGCCCTCGGCGTCCTCCTGAAGCAGCTCAAGCGGTGAGCGGGGCTGTGGGCACCCGCCGACCCCGAGGGGGTTTCGGAGTCCCCCGGCCCCGTCCTGGGGGCACGGAACGGGACCGTGCCCGAGAACGGGGGAACGGCGGGGGGCTTCATCCCTTCGAGAATATCCGTGCTCCTCGGGGGTCCCATCCCCTGGAAGAGAGTCGCCGCTTCTGGGGGGGGAGGGGTTCCGTGCCCCTTGAGAGGTGCTGACGCGCTGTCCCAGCCCGGTGCGGCAGATCGTTCGGGACGTCGAGGAGGGCGTCGGGGCACCGTACGGCGCGGAGCTGCTGCTGGAGCTGTCCCGGCTGCTGCCCGGCGCCGTGGAGGTGAGCCTCGGGGTGGGGGAACCCCCGGCGGACCCCTCTGACTGCCCGCTCCTCCGCCCCCCTCGCAGGTGTCCCGGCTGCGCGCTTTCTCTGGCTGCCCTCAGCAGCTGCCCGAGCCCGAGCTCTTCATGCTGCTGCTGCTGGAGGTGCCCAGGTGGGAGCCGGGGGGGCTGCACGAGGGGTCCGGAGGACCGCCCCGCTCGCTACACCACCCCGACCCCCTGCCCGCAGCTACGCGCAGCGCCTGGAGCTGATGGTGCTGCAGGAAGAATTCTCCCCGCGGCTCAGCGCGCTCCGCGCCTCCATCCAAATCCTGACCGACGCCGCCGAGGGTGCGTGAGCGGCTGCGGTCGGGGCGGAGGGTCGCGTCCCCATCGCGCTCACCGCCCGCCCCCCGCAGAGGTGGTGCGGTGCGAGGAGCTGCACGCGGTTCTGCATCTCGTCCTGAGCGCGGGGAACCACCTGAACGCGGTAAGCGGCACCCGCCCGTCCCCACCCCGCGGCCCTGCGGCCGTCGTGACCGCGCGTCCTGCCTCAGGGCGGCTACGCGGGCAGCGCCGCCGGGTTTCGCCTGGCCTCGCTGCGGAGGCTGCCCGACACCAGGGCCAACGTGCCGGGTGTAGACCTCCTGCACTTCGTGGCCATGGTGAGCGCCCGCGGGAACGGGTGGTGGCGGGGGTGAGGGTGGGAGGGGTCGTCGTGCGGGGCCGCTCCGTGATGCGGAAATCCCGTTCCGCACCCGTGGGGCCGCTCCGGACCGGCTGCGTGGGGGGATCCCACAGCTCCACTCGCGCAGCCCTCCGGCTCCGTCTTTCGCTCGAGTTTTGTTGAGTGCCCGTCCGTGGGATGCCGCTCCTCCCCGGCCCGGCCCAAGGTCGTTCCCACGCCGCAACCCCCGCACGGAGCGCGGTCCGCCTCGCTCAGCTGCCTTTCTCCCATCCCCCCTCCACTGCCCCGTTCCGCCCGCTTGGAGCAGTCGCTCCCCCCATAGTCGGCACCGGGGGGCCCCGCGCAACCTCCGGACCCCCCCAGCTTTGTTCTTCAGATAGAAGCGCTCAGCTCGGTGTCACGGCTGGATCTCGCCCGCACCATCTGCGCGGTGCTTTGAGCCGTGCGGTGCGCGCTGCTCTGGGCCGACCCCGAGGACAGGCAATGCCGCAACGTGCCGTGCGGTGCGGTGCGGTGCGGTGCCGTGCCCTGCTCCCGGGGCCGCGGCCCCGCCTGCCCTAAGGGACGCCTCGGGACCGCTGTCGCTCTCCTGCCATGTCACTGCCACGCACTTATCGTATCCCTGTCGCACGTGTCCGTCTTATGTTCCTATTGCATCCTTATCGTGCTCCTGTCCCGCCCCGATGGTTCCCCTGTCGCGCCCCTATCGTGTCCGTGTCACATCCCTGTCGCTCCCCGCAGGAGGCGGCACGGACGGACGGACGCCTGTTGGACTTCCCGAGCAAACTGCCGCACGTGGGCCCGGCCTCGCGGTGCGGGTAACGCCGCGGACACGCGCGGGGCCCGGCGGGGCCGTCCCGGAGCTGAGCGCGGCGCTCCCGTAGGATCGAAGAGGCGGAGGTGGAGGCGGAGCTGCGGCGACTGTCTGCGCGCGTGGCGGAGGCGCGGGGTGCGGGAGCGGCGCTGTGTGCGGGGCTGCGGCCGTTCGTGCGGGCGGCGGAGGCGGAGCTGCGAGCGGTGCGGGCGGAGAGGGATCGGATGTGCGGAGCGGCGGCGGCGGCGCTCGACTTCTACTGCGAGGAGGCGGCGCCGGGCGCGCTGCGGGAGCTGTGTGCGGTGCTGCACGGCTTCGCGGGCCGCTTCCTGAACGCCGTGCAGGTAATACGGCCCGGCCCGTCCTCACGCCGCCTCTGGCCGCCCCGCTCCGCCCTCACGCCGTCTCCGCGCAGGAGAACCGCGCCCGGGAGCTATCGCAGCGCCGACGGCAGCAGCTCGAACTGCAGCGGGACAAACGGCGTTCCGTCGCCACGTGCTCGTTGCGGGACGCGGAGCTCGACGGATCCGCCCGACCCCTCCGCGCCGCTCCGGCGCTGCTCCGGCGGAACACGGCCCCGGCGCTGCCCGAGCTGCGGGGCGGCCCCGAACCCCCGCGGCCCGAGAGTTTCCCCTCCGACCCGCCTCCCTCCGCCCCCCTGCCCCCCTCCCGCCTCTCCGCGCTGTTCTCTCGATGGGGATCCCGCCGCGCTCCCCCCGCGCCGTCAGGCGGCCCGGCGCTGTTCGGTTTTTTGCGGCGCCTGGCGGGCGGGGCGGCGCGCGGAGCCCCCCCGAGCTGAGAGTCGGCGGGTTTTATCCTCCCCTGTGCTTCTGTGTGACGATAATAAATGCTTTGGAATTCCTCCTGCCCTCCCCGGGCTGTGGGATGTACAGCGCAAAGTGCATTCCGCAAAGTGCGGCATGCGGGGTGAGGTGTGCGGGGTGCGGGATTTCGGGCTGCTGACTGCACAGCTGCTCCCACCGCCCCCACCCACCCGAACCCGCTGCCCGCAACCGTTCCGTGCCCCCCTCCCTCTCCCCCCGCCCCCGTAGCACAGCTGTGTGCCCATCACTGAGCTCTTTGTTGTCCCCGCGCGGTGCCGGGACGGGACGGAACCCCCCCACACACACAGTCCCTTTGCTTCTCTCCTGCAAGGCTGCAAAGTGGCACTGAGTGTGGGCTGCGGGGGTCAGCCCTCCTGCACCGGAGGTGAAAGGAGCGGGACAGGGGGGACCTGGGGGGAGGGGGGCTGGACAGGATGTGGGGGGTGTGGGACCCTGAGAGATCCACAGTGGGGTCAGCTGTGGGGTCAGACCAGGCTGCACATCCAGCAGTTACCCAAATTTGTACTGAACACACCTGCACAGATGGAGAGTGCACTGCCTGTGGGCAGCCTGGATGTGGGGAAAGCCTTTCCTTGGATGGAGCCTGAACCCTGCACCCCCAGCTCTGCCTGTGGATTCTGGTTCTGCTGTGAAGCACGGTGCGGAGCCCGGCTCTGGCTGTGCATAACCTCCCCATGGGAGCTGGTGGGTTGCTGCTGGGTCAAAGCCCTCCCTAAGGCTGAGCAAGCCCCGGTCCCTCTGCAGCTCCCTCCTTGCAGGGCAACCGTTCCCAGAGTCCCAGCTGGTGGAGGCTGGGAGGGATCTCTCAGGGCTTCTGGCCCAACACTGCTCCAGCAGGGGCACCCAGAGCAGCGCCCAGCTCCGTGTCCTGGCAGCTTTCCCTCCATGGAGGGAAACTCCACAGCCCGTGGGGCACGTGGACGTTCTCTGCCACCTCACTGTGCAGAAGTGCTTCCTGATGTTCGGATCCTGAACTCCATCCCCAGGGCCCTCCTTGAACCTGGGGCGGTGTGCCAAGTCTTTTCCTGCGCCTGCATTTCCCCAAACCGGTAGCGGTGTCCAGATGTGAGCAGAGCAGGGGCCGATCCCATCCCTTGCTCCCGGCAGTGCCCCATGCACACAGAGCAGATGTTTGGCAGCAGAGGGCCCAGGGCAGAGCCCCGTGGTGCTGCGCTGCCACTCAGCTCCAGGCAGGGCACAGCTCTGAGCCACCATCCTGAGTCCACCCACCCACATGGGTATTTGCTGTTTGCCCAGCTGTCCGTAACATCGTGCCTTGGGTGTGAGGACTGTGGGACGGAGTGCCCAAATCAAGGAATTGCTATTCCCTGCTCTCCTTTCCCCGCAGATTTGTCCCCGGCTCTCCGGTTTCGTGTCCCTCGCGGTGGCGGTGGGGCAGTGCCGGTGCCGATGACGGTGAGAGGAATGTTGCCCGTCCGGTTCCGCCGCGGCAACTCCGGGCCAGGCCCGCGGTGCGGCGGCTCTCAGGGGCTCTGCAGGACCGGCACTGCCGGTCCGGCCGGGGTACCTCCGTGCCCGCATGGCTCCGCGGAGGTGAGCGGGGGCAGCACGGAGAGATGGGGACGAGGGCGGTCGGGTCGGGAGCTCCGCGCCCCACACGAACTCTCCGGAAGCCTCACCTCCCACCCCCCCCACCATCCCGGCGATGCTCGGAGCGGGATACCGTTGCCGTGGCGACCGCCGGGTACCGGGGATGCGGGGAGCGCGCCCGAAGCCCCCCCCACTGCAGAGCCACAGCCCGGGCGAGACCATCGGCGGGGCGCGGAGGGGGCACTTGGTGCGCTTTTCCCGTGGCCGCCCGTGGGTGCCCCTCGCGCCGTTTCCACCGCGGGTTCCGAGCGGCTCTCCGCGCTCCGCGGGCCCCGGCGGGGCGGTCACGGGGAGGTTGGGCTCCCCTCGCGCTGCCGGGGGGACGCGCGGGGCCGCAATCCCCCCGCAGTGGTGCGCGCCGCTCGGGCAGATGCGGCTGCGGAGCGCGCCCAGCCCTGGCGCAGTCCCCGCCGCGCCGGGCCGGGCCGAACCGAACCGGGCCGGGCTGAGCCGAGCCGCGGCGATGTGCGCTGCCGCCCCGCCGGCCCCGGCTGCCCGCGGCGGGGGCTGAGCCGTGCTGAGCCGAGCCGGGCTCGAAGGTGACAGCGCGGCCGCGGGGCGGGGCGGGCGGCCGGGACACGGCCGGCACGGGTGGGGCGGTGCAGCGGGGTGCGGGGCAGCGGGCAGCGCTGAGCGGGGGGGGAGGGAGGGGTGAGCGGCACGGGTTGGGGGGAGCGGGCGCGGGTGAGCACCGCGGCGAGGGCGGCGGGCGGGGGCAGCGCAGCGCCATCCCGGTGCCGGTGCCCCGCGCCCCCCCCGGGGCGGGGCGGGTGGTGACGTCGCGGTGCCGGGCCTGCACAATGGCCGTCGGGGCGGGGCCGCGCCGGGGCCTGCAGCCGCGGGGCCGCCGCAGCGCCGTGAGCGGACGCGGGGCCGGGAGATAACGGAGCGGGGCGGGGGGGGTGCGGGGCGGTGCGGGGCGCTGGGAGCGGCGGTGCCCTCGGGGGAATCCGAGCGTGCGGCGTGTGAGGAGGGGGCGGCCGCGGGGCGAGCGGGAGCGCTGCGGGGGCAGCTGTGCGGTGCGGGGTGAGCGCTGCTGGGCGGGCGGGGTCACTCCGGCCCGGGAACCGCGGTCCTTTTTCCGGCGGTGCGGCTGCGGCCAGGCGCGGTGCGGGGTCGGGTGCGGTGCGGGGCTGGGCGCGGTGCGGGGCCCGGAGCGCACTGACAGCCCCGCCCGCAGGCTGAGCGCCGCGGGGCCTCGGGGACGCCGCCATGGCGAAGCGGGAGGCCAACGCCAGCCCGGTGGTGCGGCAGATTGACAAACAGTTCCTGGTGTGCAGCATCTGCCTCGACCGCTACCGCAACCCCAAGGTGCTGCCGTGCCTGCACACCTTCTGTGAGAGGTGAGGCCCCTCCCGCCGCCCCCCAGCATTGCACCGCATCTCGGCTGCTCCCTCTGCATCCCCTCTGCATCCCCTCTGCATCCCCTCTGCATCCCCTCTTAATCCCTGCTGCATCTTGTTGCACCTCCATTGCATCCCTGCTGCATCCCTGTTGCACCTCTGCTACACCCTCACTGCATCCCTGCTGTACGCTGGCCCTGCTGCATCTCCGACACTGCATTCCTGCTGTGCCCTGCTGCATCCAACTGCATCTTTGCTGCATCCCCACTGCATTCCCTCCCCCTTCCCCCCCCCATGTGCTGCACTGCATCCACCAAAGCACTTTCCCTGAAGACTTCTCGCGAGAGAAGGACTTCACTGCACCCCCAGTGCCTGCACTGAGTGTCTGGGCCCCCCAAAACCCACTACATCCTCACTGTGTCCTCACCGTGTCCCACTGTGTCTCTGCTTGAGCCCCTCTGCTGCATGCTGACCCCAACTGCACTCCCTTACTGCATCCCACTGCACGTGTACTGCATCCTCAATGCATCCCCCACCGCACCTCCTGCAGGTCAGCGTGGTCACTGCACCCCACAGCGCTCACACTGCATCCCTGCAGGGCCCCACTCCTTCTCCCGCAGCATTCCCTTCCTTTCTGCAGCTCCTGCAGGAGCTAGGATGGAGCTGCCGTGTCCCTCTGTGTCCTGCTGAGCCTGCACTGCATCTCTGCTGCCTCCAAAAATTGCCTGCCTGCATTCCTGCTGTCCTGCTGTGCCTCCCTGCATCCCTTCTGCACTCCTAATGCTTCCAGCCTGCATCCCCACTGTGTCCCCACTGTGCCCTGCTGCATTGCCTGCTGTGTCCCTGATGTACCCTGCTGCCTCCAAGTTGTGCAGCACTGCATCCCCCTGCATGTCTTCAGCACAAGATGGGGCCACTCCACTCATCCTGGGAGCTGGGGTCCCACTGATCCCATGGCCCTATAGCCCCCATAGTGTGGGCTGTGGCTGCAGGGTTGGTTGTTCCTGTCCTGCAGTGCAGAGTCTGGATGGGGAGGGGGGGGCTGTAGCATGGCTGAGGGCTCTGTACTGACATCTGCTTTCTCTGTGCCCCCCCAGGCCCCTGCCCACCCTTGGCACTCCCCTGCTCCCGTCTGGCACAGCCCTGTCCTATCTATCCATCTGTCTGTCTGTCTGTGGCCCCATGTCGAGGTCTCATGGCCAGCTTTCTGTGGCCCTACCCATCCTGTCCGGCCCCCAGCCCTGTCCCACTCTCCTGCCACATGCACTCTGATGCACCATGGCACAGCCCCTGTCTGTCCGTCCATCTCACCATCTGCCATTCCCCCAGCCCCATCCCTTGCTCCCACCCATGCACCCCAGTGCACACCATCACAGTCCTTGTTTGTCTGTCCTTCCCCCAGCCCTGTCCCACACACCCTGTTACACCAAGTCACAGCCCCATCCATCCGTCTGTCCGTCGTCCATCTGCTCCCCCGGCCCTTTCCTCTGGTCCTGTCCCGTGCACTCTGAAGCACTGTGGTGCATCATCCCCATCTCTGTCCACCCTTCCAGCCCCTTCTTCCATGCCTTCCAGTTCACCCATCAGTCCATCTTTTCCCCAGCCCCGTCCCTCCATCCCATCCGTGACCCCCAGTGCACCGTGGTGCAGCCTTTGTCCCCCTGCCCACCCCATCCCGGTGCCCACCGCCCCGCTCGCTGCCCGCGGGCGGCCCTGACCCTCTCGTTGTCCCCGTTCTGCCCCAGGTGTCTCCAGAACTATATCCCGCCCCAGAGCCTCACCCTGTCCTGCCCCGTGTGCCGCCAGACCTCCATCCTGCCCGAGCGCGGCGTGGCGGCCCTGCAGAACAACTTCTTCATCACCAACCTGATGGAAGTGCTGCAGCGCGACCCCGACAGCCGCGGCCCCCACCCCGGCCCGGGGCTGGACCCCGTCAGCGCCGTCACCGGGCAGCCCCTGTCGTGCCCCAACCACGAGGGCAAGGTGGGTGGCGGGGNNGGGGGGCGGGTGTGCCGCCGAAGGGGGGGCCCTGAGCGCCGCTGCCGCAGGTAATGGAGTTCTAC